AAGGCTCTCAATGCTGCTAATAAACAGCATTGAGATATATTTATTGTTCGAGTGGTGCAAACACTTGCCGTGGATGTGTGTTTTTATAGAAGGAGGGAACGTCTACTCATTTCGCCTATATAAATTGGTTAAACATATTCATGAATGTTACGTAGAATCATCATCATCAGCATTTAAACACCCTAATGAATATCGTGTAATATGAATCCTCACATATATAGACCATTTCAAATATAATTCATGACACGCTTTAATAATAATTATCTTCCCTAATGGGGTATATATCGTGTATATGTTTATTAATTACATAAAATATTCTTACACAGTTTATATTATTGCTGCGGAAATCACACTTCTACGCAGGAAACTAAGTAAGGTGTTTTTTAATGAGAAAAGATATAAATAGTACTTATGATGTAGCCTCTCACACTTTAAATATGCATAGCAATCATATATGTTAAACCATTAGATAAATCATTAAATGTGACATTAAGCCAACTTCCGAACTAAATAAATATGTTTCCTAATGTATGCCACTCTTAAGTTTGCACATGTTAATATCGATCATACAAAAAATGCACAATTTATTTTGTTGTTGTGGAAGTCACATTTCTACGCAGGAAACTAATTGTAAAATGGTATTTTCTAAATCAAATTATTTATTCCAAGCTGATGATCTTTTGCAAATACATTCAATTTAGTTATATGTCTTGCTTATTTAATATTTTCATCTCGCATTCAATTATAACGTTATGTTTTGTTATTCTCAATCCTGTGATTAGTTAATGCAATTTATTATAATTACAATTTATGTCTTCATTAATTATCTTTCAAATCTTCCTAATTCAGAAACAAATAGAGAGGGAGAGTGGACAAAAAAAAATACAAATAGTATTTATGATGTAAATTCTCATACTTTAAATGCATAATAATCATAGACGTTCGTAAATTAAATAAATCATTAAATGTGACATTTCATAAATTTCACTATCGTAGCTCCAACTTTCGATCAAAATAAATATATTTTCTTATATATGTCATACTTAAGTTTGAACATGTGAATATCGATCATACAAAACGAACACTGGATGACATCTTCACCATCGTATGCAATCATGCACGGTAATTTTGGATACCAATGATTATTTCCTCTCAACCGACATATTGTGGTGATTTTGATATTACCCCTACTTAGGGCCTGACTCTTTGACATCGGACGTAGCGCGACTGTGGCAAGGATGGGGCGTGATGGCCTTGCCATTGGCGTAAGTGCGAGCAAAACGATCATGCGAACAATGGACAAGACATTGTCATGAGGACTGTTGTGGGCAAGTATTGGCAGGGGTCTTAGGGCAGGCAAGACATACTTGGCAAAGGCTTGACAAGGCAGTGTGGGCAAGCTGGAGCGGCATGGCATGGCATGCGCGCCAAAGTTAGTGGTGGCGCATGCACTTTGGGTTGTGGCAATGCCAATTGCGGGATAAGCTAAGGCAAAACAGTGCGGGATAATGGCAAAGGCTTTAGGTAGCTAAGGCAAGGCTATGTGAAGCAAAATACAAGCAATGGAACGGGTAAAACAAGGGTTGACATAGACAAGGTAGAAACTCGGCCAAGACATGTGCGGGCGGCAATGGCGTCGAGCGTGTGCAGCAAAGTCATAGGCGGAAGGTTGCGGGTAAGGCATTGGTGTGGAACAATGTCAAAGGACCAAGGCTAGGTGCAATGCCAGCATTGGGCGTGCAACAACTGGCCAACAAAAGCGCACATACAATGCATAGGCCAAAGTAGTTGGCGATTACCTTTTTGTAACTACTTGTACCCATGTATGCTTTATGCTTGTATCCAATATCATTTCATGTAGATCATGGCCTATGTAGTTGGGGATGTCAACTATATATTAGGAACAGATTTAGCATTAGCCGCCAAGTAAAAAAAGCTATAGACAACAAGTGTCAATATGTTGTCAAGTGCCAAAGGCTACCTATGTGCTATAAATAAGTGCCTTTGGAGTTAGTCAGATTGATGTGGGGGAATTTCTTGTGAAATTCAGTAAGGGAAATAAGAGTGAAACATGAGGGTTTCTAATGTTTCAAAAGGGACTAAGGCTAAGCATTGTGCAGGTCTTAGTGTGCAAGATCGACTTATGATCTTGGCTAGACGAGATGGGCTGTGAACGACTTGTGTTCATAGAAAAGTGAGTATTTTTCGAATTAATACAAAGGTTGGGATTTTTCCGTATTTGATTGTGTTCTCTTTACGTTTGCTGCCTAAAATTATCTAAGTACAAACTTGCTGAAAATTTGACTAAGTGTTGGGAAGGCTGAGTCAAGTGCGCAACTTGACTGCCGCGTGGGTATGACTTTGGGCTAACAAAAATTGCCCTGTGACAACTGGTATCAGAGTGGAGTAGGTTCGTGGCGGTGGCAAGATAGCCAGTAGCAGATTTCGTGGTACTGTTTGAGAACATGGCTGGTGGCACAAATGCTGAACTTCGCCAATGGGTGGAACAGTTGGAAGCATTTGTTGGGTAGACCCTTGAAATAGGCGCTGATCCTTCTGTTCTTGCGAGAATGGCACGTTTGGAGGCAGATTATGCGGCAAGGCATGAGACTACTCTAGCATAAATGGCCTTGGTACGTAAGGAAAAGGAAGAACTGCGTGAGGAAGTGCTTCTACTCGAAGGGCAATACAAAGCACTGTCCCTAGAAGTGATGATTACACAAAGGTGAGGATTCCGGAGCCAAAGGCTTATAGTGGTACAAGAAGTGCCAAAGAACTAAAAAATTTCTTGTGGGATATGGAGCAGTATTTCCAGGATGCTCGTGTGCCAGATGAGGAAAAGGTGATAATCATACCTATGTATTTGACTAATGATGCAAAGGTGTGGTGGTGTACACGAGTTATGGAAGTGGAAAGTTCTGGACTGCCCAAGATTGAAACTTGGGAGATGATGAAGAAGGAATTAAAATCTCAATTCCTTCCAAGCAACTCGTTATGGGTTGCAGGAGATGGACTGCGTCACTTGAAACAAAGTAGCACGGTGAGGGAGTATGTCAAGGAGTTCTCATCCTTGATGCTGAATGTGAGTAATATGGCAGAGGAAGACAAGCTGCATTACTTCATGAGCTGATTGAAGGGCTGGGTGCAATTAGAGTTAAGAAATCAGAATGTTCAAAGCCTCTCTACTACTATTGCAACGGCATATGCGTTGGCTGACTTCAATTTAGGTGATGACCCGGCTGAATCTTCTAATCCAAAGTCCGATGCAAGGAAGGACAAGGCAAGTGAATGGAAGAAAAGTGGGAAGGGCCAAGTTACTGAAGATGAAGGGCTTGGCAAAAATGAAAGTAAGGCGGAGACTTCCAATGGAAATGAAAGGAGCGGCAAATTCAAAGGCTGCTTTACTTGTGGTGGACTTCACTTGAAGAAAGACCGTCTGGTGCAGGCTAGGATAAATGTTGTGTTGGATGCAGAAAAGTGAGATTAAGTGGCGGAAGCAAATGACATTGTAGCAGATGTGAATGGAGCAACAAGGGCATTGTATGTCAACAACCCCTTGAGGATCATAAATTGAGTTAGCTCGATGAGGATGTCGATTTCAAAGGGTGCAGGTGGTTTGTTAGGGGACTGAATCTTTGACATCAGACGTGGCGCGACTGTGGCAAGGATTGGGCGTGATGGCCTTGCCATTGGCCTATGTGCGGGCAAAACAATCATACGGACAATGGACAAGACATTGTCATGAGGACTGTTATGGGCAATTATTGGCCAAGGTCTTGGGGCAGGCAAGACATGCTTGGCAAAGGCTTGACAAGGTAGTGTGGGCAAGTTAGGGCGGCATGGCATGACATGCGCATCAAAGTCAGTGGCACAGGCACTTTGGGTTGTGGCAATGCCAAGTGCATGCTAAGTTAAGGCAAAAAAGTGCGGGATGATGTCAAAGGCTTTAGATAGATAATGCAAGGCTATGTGAAGCAAAATACAAGCAAAGGAAAAGGTGAAACAAGGGTTGACATAGAAAAGGCAGAAACTCAGCCAAGACATGTGCGGGCAGTAGTGGCATCAGGCGTGTGTAGAAAAGTCATAGGCGAAGGTTGTGGTCAAGGCATTGGTGTGGAGCAATGTCAAAGGGCCAAGGCTTGGCACAATGCCAGCCTTGGGCATGCAGCAGCTGGCCAGCAAAAGCACACATGCAGTGCATATGCCAAAGTAGTTGGCGGTTACCTGTTTGTAACTACTTGTACCCATGTCTGCTTTATGCTTGTATCCACTATCATTTCGTGTAGATCATGGCCTATGTAGTTGTGGATGTCAACTACAAGTTAGGAACATATTTAGCATTAGCCCGCCAAGTGGCAAAAGCTGCAGACAACAAGTGTTAATGTGCTGTCAAGTGCAAAAGGCTGCCTATGTGCTATAAATAGGCGCCTTTGGACTTAGTCAGATTGGAATGGGGAATTTCGTGTGAAATTCAGTAAGGGAAACAAGAGTGAAACGTGAGGGTTTCTAAGTATTTCAAAAGGGACTAAGGCTAGGCATTGGGCAGGTCTTAGTGTGCAAAATCGACTTGTGATCTTGGTTAGACGAAGTGGGTTGTGAACGACTTGTGTTCATAGCAAAGTGAGGGTTTCCTTTGTAAGTTTTCGAATTAACACAAAGGTTGGAATTTTCCCGTATTTGATTGTGTTCTCTTTAAGTTTGCTGCCTAAAATTATCTAAGTACAAACTTGATGAAAATTTGGCTAAGTTGTCACGACCCAAACCGATGGGCTATGATGAGTGCCCGAGCCTACCTATCGAACACCCCTAAGCATACGTCTAAGATAAAACGTGAAATAAGTGTAGGACATGCATAACATCTGGAGGTAAACTACTGAATTATGTGAATAACATACGCGAGAAAACGTGCCCAAAAAGACATGTACATATATATACGGAATACGGTAGGGCGTGCCGACAAGGCCACATACTATCCGATTATACATGATTGTCTACAGATCTCTAATAGAGTGTACAACTGTATAAAGGACGAGACTGGGCCCCGTCATACCCATATATGTATACAAACATATTGTACCAAAAACTCAAAAGCATCTCCAGATCAAATGGAGCACACCAACTCTCGCTGAACAAGGATCCTAAGAAGGGGGACCGTCAGCCTGTCTACCTGCACCTGCGGGTATGAAACGCAGGCTCCAGAAAATAGGGGCATCAGTACGAATAATGTACCGAGTATTTAAGGCATGAAAATCAGTACATAGAAGACATAAAAGAAGTATGGAGTAAAGGAATCCGCCTGTAAGCCTAAATAACTTTGTGAATCCTGAAATATTTATAATATCATGCATGTGCGTATAAATTTCATATCATGCATAGGTATATGCGTACATAACGTTATCAAGCCTCTGAGGGCATCCCATCATATCATCTCGGCCTCAGTGGGCGAAATCATCAAAGTATACCAACTGATCAGGTGGTGCTTCGTATATAACGCCGTAACTTTTCCTCATACCCATATATATATACCAACTGATCAGGTGGTGCTTCGTGTGTGTGTGTGTGTGTGTGTGTGTGTGTGTGTGTGTGTGTGT